ACACACAGACCACACACAATGACACACACGTCCATATCACACACAGGCCACACACAATGACACACAAGTCCATATCACACATAGGCCACACACAATGACACACAAGTCCATATCACACACAATGACACACAAGTCCATATCACACACAGGCCAAACACAATGACACACAAGTCCATATCACACATAGGCCACACACAATGACACACAAGTCCATATCACACACAATGACACACACAATGACACACACGTCCATATCACACACAATGACACACACGTCCATATCACACACAGGCTCACACACAATGACACACACGTCCATATCACACACAGACCACACACAATGACACACACGTCCATATCACACACAGGCCACACACAATGACACACACGTCCATATCACACACAGGCCACACACACGTCCATATCACACACAGGCTCACACACAATGACACACACGTCCATATCACACACAGACCACACACAATGACACACAAGTCCATATCACACACAGGCCACACACAATGACACACAAGTCCATATCACACACAGGCTCACACACAATGACACACACGTCCATATCACACACAGACCACACACAATGACACACAAGTCCATATCACACAAAGGCCACACACAATGACACACAAGTCCATATCACACACAGGCCAAACACAATGACACACACGTCCATATCACACATAGGCCACACACAATGACACACAAGTCCATATCACACACAGGCCAAACACAATGACACACACTCCATATCACACAAGGCCACACACAATGACACACAAGTCCATATCACACACAGGCCACACACAATGACACACAAGTCCATATCACACACAGGCCACACACAATGACACACAAGTCCATATCACACACAGGCCAAACACAATGACACACACGTCCATATCACACACAGGCCACACACAATGACACACACGTCCATATCACACATAGGCCACACACAATGACACACACGTCCATATCACACACACATGACACACACGTCCATATCACACACAATGACACACACAATGACACACACGTCCATATCACACACAGACTCACACACAATGACACACACGTCCATATCACACACAGACCACACAGACACACACCAATGACACACACACGTCCATATCACACACAATGACACACACGTCCATATCACACACAATGACAAACACAATGACACACACGTCCATATCACACAAAGACACACACGTCCATATCACACACACAGACTCACACACAATGACACACACGTCCATATCACACACAGACTCACACACAATGACACACACGTCCATATCACACACAGACCACACACAATGACACACACGTCCATATCACACACAGACTCACACAATGACACACACAATGACACACACGTCCATATCACACACAGGCCACACACACGTCCATATCACACACAGGCTCACACACAATGACACACAAGTCCATATCACACACAGACCACACACAATGACACACAAGTCCATATCACACACAATGACACACACGTCCATATCACACACAGACCACACACAATGACACACACGTCCATATCACACACAGGCCACACACAATGACACACAAGTCCATATCACACACAGGCCAAACACAATGACACACAAGTCCATATCACACATAGGCCACACACAATGACACACAAGTCCATATCACACACAATGACACACACAATGACACACACGTCCATATCACACACAATGACACACACGTCCATATCACACACAGGCTCACACACAATGACACACACGTCCATATCACACACAGACCACACACAATGACACACACGTCCATATCACACACAATGACACACACGTCCATATCACACACAGGCTCACACACAATGACACACACGTCCATATCACACACAGACCACACACAATGACACACACGTCCATATCACACACAATGACACACACAATGACACACACGTCCATATCACACACAGGCCACACACACGTCCATATCACACACAGGCCACACACACGTCCATATCACACACAATGACACACACAATGACACACACGTCCATATCACACACAATGACACACACGTCCATATCACACACAGGCCACACACAATGACACACACAATGACACACACGTCCATATCACACACAATGACACACACAATGACACACACAATGACACACACAATGACACACACAATGACACACACAATGACACACACGTCCATATCACACACAATGACACGCACGTCCATATCACACACAATGACACACACAATGACACACACAATGACACACACGTCCATATTACACACAGGCCACACACACACGTCCATATCACACACAGGCCACACACACGTCCATATCACACACAATGACACACACAATGACACACACGTCCATATCACACACAATGACACACACGTCCATATCACACACAATGACACACACAATGACACACACGTCCATATTACACACAATGACACACACAATGACACACACAATGACACACACGTCCATATTACACACAATGACACACACAATGACACACACAATGACACACACACACATATTACACACAATGACACACACAATGACACACACGTCCATATCACACACAATGACACACACATGACACACACAATGACACACACATGACACACACGTCCATATTACACACAATGACACACACAATGACACACACAATGACACACACAATGACACACACATGACATATACACACAATGACACACACAATGACACACACAATGACACACACAATGACACACACGTCCATATTACACACAATGACACACACAATGACACACACAATGACACACACAATGACACACACGTCCATATTACACACAATGACACACACAATGACACACACGTCCATATCACACACAGGCTCACACACAATGACACACACGTCCATATCACACACAGACCACACACAATGACACACACGTCCATATCACACACAATGACACACACAATGACACACACACACGTCCATATCACACACAGGCCACACACACGTCCATATCACACACAGGCCACACACACGTCCATATCACACACAATGACACACACAATGACACACACGTCCATATCACACACAATGACACACACGTCCATATCACACACAGGCCACACACAATGACACACACAATGACACACACGTCCATATCACACACAATGACACACACAATGACACACACAATGACACACACAATGACACACACAATGACACACACAATGACACACACGTCCATATCACACACAATGACACGCACGTCCATATCACACACAATGACACACACAATGACACACACAATGACACACACGTCCATATTACACACAATGACACACACAATGATACACACGTCCATATTACACACAATGACACACACGTCCATATCACACACAAATGACACACACAATGACACACACGTCCATATTACACACAATGACACACACAATGACACACACAATGACACACACATGACACACACGTCCATATTACACACAATGACACACACAATGACACACACAATGACACACACACGTCCATATTACACACAATGACACACACAATGACACACACGTCCATATCACACACAATGACACACACATTGACACACACAATGACACACACGTCCATATTACACACAATGACACACACAATGACACACACGTCCATATTACACACAATGACACACACAATGACACACACAATGACACACACAATGACACACACAATGACACACACGTCCATATTACACACAATGACACACACAATGACACACACAATGACACACACGTCCATATTACACACAATGACACACACAATGACACACACAATGACACACACGTCCATATTACACACAATGACACACACAATGACACACACGTCCATATCACACACAATGACACACACGTCCATATCACACACAGGCCACACACAATGACACACACAATGACACACACGTCCATATCACACACAATGACACACACAATGACACACACAATGACACACACAATGACACACACAATGACACACACACGTCCATATCACACACAATGACACGCACGTCCATATCACACACAATGACACACACAATGACACACACAATGACACACACGTCCATATTACACACAATGACACACACAATGATACACACGTCCATATTACACACAATGACACACACGTCCATATCACACACAATGACACACACAATGACACACACGTCCATATTACACACAATGACACACACAATGACACACACAATGACACACACAATGACACACCGTCCATATTACACACAATGACACACACAATGACACACACAATGACACACACGTCCATATTACACACAATGACACACACAATGACACACACGTCCATATCACACACAATGACACACACATTGACACACACAATGACACACACGTCCATATTACACACAATGACACACACAATGACACACACGTCCATATTACACACAATGACACACACAATGACACACACAATGACACACACAATGACACACACGTCCATATTACACACAATGACACACACAATGACACACACAATGACACACACGTCCATATTACACACAATGACACACACAATGACACACACAATGACACACACGTCCATATTACACACAATGACACACACAATGACACACACGTCCATATCACACACAATGACACACACGTCCATATCACACACAATGACACACACGTCCATATTACACACAATGACACACACAATGACACACACAATGACACACACGTCCATATTACACACACAATGACACACACAATGACACACACGTCCATATCACACACAGGCCACACACAATGACACACACGTCCATATCTAATGTGTGAAGACGTCACTGCTCATTGGTCGCACAGCTTAAAAATAACACATTTAGAAAATGATGCTTGGTCTAATATAAGTAGTTTATGTGGCCCCTGATCAAAAATGGCCCCGGGTCTGGGCCTCCCTCTGCGTCTCTCCGGTCTCTGGGTCTGGGCCTCCCTCTGCGTCTCTCCGGTCTCTGGGTCTGGGCCTCCCTCTGCGTCTCTCCGGTCTCTGGGTCTGGGCCTCCCTCTGCGTCTCTCCGGTCTCTGGGTCTGGGCCTCCCTCTGCGTCTCTCCGGTCTCTGGGTCTGGGCCTCCCTCTGCGTCTCTCCGGTCTCTGGGTCTGGGCCTCCCTCTGCGTCTCTCCGGTCTCTGGGTCTGGGCCTCCCTCTGCGTCTCTCCGGTCTCTGGGTCTGGGCCTCCTCTCCTCTGCGTCTCTCCGGTCTCTGGGTCTGGGCCTCCCTCTCTCTCGGTCTCGGGTCTGGGCGTCTCTCCCGGTCTCTGGGTCTGGGCCTCCCTCTCCCTCTGCGTCTCTCCGGTCTCTGGGTCTGGGCCTCCCTCTCCCTCTGCGTCTCTCCGGTCTCTGGGTCTGGGCCTCCCTCTCCCTCTGCGTCTCTCCGGTCTCTGGGTCTGGGCCTCCCTCTCCCTCTGCGTCTCTCCGGTCTCTGGGTCTGGGCCTCCCTCTCCCTCTGCGTCTCTCCGTCTCTGGGTCGGGCCTCCTCTCTCTCCCGGTCTCTGGGTCTGGGCCTCCCTCTGCGTCTCTCCGGTCTCTGGGTCTGGGCCTCCCTCTGCGTCTCTCCGGTCTCTGGGTCTGGGCCTCCCTCTGCGTCTCTCCGGTCTCTGGGTCTCGTTCCCGTCAGAACTTGGGCCCGCCTCCCGGACGCTGCCATTCGTCCGGAACCCTCCCGTGTGGCCAATAGCACCTGTCCACGGCCGAGAAAACAGCGGTCCAGACTTGTTTCCAGAGTGCGCCGTATGAGAGAGAGCAGACCATAATGAGACCCTAACCCATGGAAGAGCTGACCATAATGAGACCCTAACCCATGGAAGAGCAGACCATAATGAGACCCTAACCCATGGAAGAGCAGACCATAATGAGACCCTAACCCATGGAAGAGCAGACCATAATGAGACCCTAACCCATGGAAGAGCAGACCATAATGAGACCCTAACCCATGGGAGAGCAGACCATAATGAGACCCTAACCCATGGAAGAGCAGACCATAATGAGACCCTAACCCATGGAAGAGCAGATCATAATGAGACCCTAGCCCATGGGAGAGCAGACCATAATGAGACCCTAGCCCATGGGAGAGCAGACCATAATGAGACCCTAACCCATGGAAGAGCAGACCATAATGAGACCCTAACCCATGGAAGAGCAGACCATAATGAGACCCTAACCCATGGAAGAGCAGACCATAATGAGACCCTAACCCATGGAAGAGCAGACCATAATGAGACCCTAACCCATGGGAGAGCAGACCATAATGAGACCCTAACCCATGGGAGAGCAGACCATAATGAGACCCTAACCCATGGAAGAGCAGACCATAATGAGACCCTAACCCATGGAAGAGCAGACCATAATGAGACCCTAACCCATGGGAGAGCAGACCATAATGAGACCCTAACCCATGGGAGAGCAGACCATAATGAGACCCTAACCCATGGGAGAGCAGACCATAATGAGACCCTAACCCATGGAAGAGCAGACCATAATGAGACCCTAACCCATGGGAGAGCAGACCATAATGAGACCCTAACCCATGGGAGAGCAGACCATAATGAGACCCTAACCCATGGAAGAGCAGACCATAATGAGACCCTAACCCATGGAAGAGCAGACCATAATGAGACCCTAACCCATGGAAGAGCAGACCATAATGAGACCCTAACCCATGGAAGAGCAGACCATAATGAGACCCTAACCCATGGAAGAGCAGACCATAATGAGACCCTAACCCATGGAAGAGCAGACCATAATGAGACCCTAACCCATGGAAGAGCAGACCATAATGAGACCCTAACCCATGGAAGAGCAGACCATAATGAGACCCTAACCCATGGAAGAGCAGACCATAATGAGACCCTAACCCATGGAAGAGCAGACCATAATGAGACCCTAACCCATGGAAGAGCAGACCATAATGAGACCCTAACCCATGGAAGAGCAGACCATAATGAGACCCTAACCCATGGAAGAGCAGACCATAATGAGACCCTAACCCATGGAAGAGCAGACCATAATGAGACCCTAACCCATGGAAGAGCAGACCATAATGAGACCCTAACCCATGGAGAGCAGACCATAATGAGACCCTAACCCATGGAAGAGCAGACCATAATGAGACCCTAACCCATGGAAGAGCAGACCATAATGAGACCCTAACCCATGGAAGAGCAGACCATAATGAGACCCTAACCCATGGGAGAGCAGACCATAATGAGACCCTAACCCATGGAAGAGCAGACCATAATGAGACCCTAACCCATGGAAGAGCAGACCATAATGAGACCCTAACCCATGGAAGAGCAGACCATAATGAGACCCTAACCCATGGAAGAGCAGACCATAATGAGACCCTAACCCATGGGAGAGCAGACCATAATGAGACCCTAACCCATGGGAGAGCAGACCATAATGAGACCCTAACCCATGGGAGAGCAGACCATAATGAGACCCTAACCCATGGGAGAGCAGACCATAATGAGACCCTAACCCATGGGAGAGCAGACCATAATGAGACCCTAACCCATGGAAGAGCAGACCATAATGAGACCCTAACCCATGGGAGAGCAGACCATAATGAGACCCTAACCCATGGGAGAGCAGACCATAATGAGACCCTAACCCATGGAAGAGCAGACCATAATGAGACCCTAACCCATGGAAGAGCAGACCATAATGAGACCCTAACCCATGGAAGAGCAGACCATAATGAGACCCTAACCCATGGGAGAGCAGACCATAATGAGACCCTAACCCATGGGAGAGCAGACCATAATGAGACCCTAACCCATGGGAGAGCAGACCATAATGAGACCCTAACCCATGGAAGAGCAGACCATAATGAGACCCTAACCCATGGAAGAGCAGACCATAATGAGACCCTAACCCATGGAAGAGCAGACCATAATGAGACCCTAACCCATGGAGAGCAGACCATAATGAGACCCTAACCCATGGGAGAGCAGACCATAATGAGACCCTAACCCATGGAGAGCAGACCATAATGAGACCCTAACCCATGGAAGAGCAGACCATAATGAGACCCTAACCCATGGGAGAGCAGACCATAATGAGACCCTAACCCATGGAAGAGCAGACCATAATGAGACCCTAACCCATGGGAGAGCAGACCATAATGAGACCCTAACCCATGGGAGAGCAGACCATAATGAGACCCTAACCCATGGGAGAGCAGACCATAATGAGACCCTAACCCATGGAAGAGCAGACCATAATGAGACCCTAACCCATGGGAGAGCAGACCATAATGAGACCCTAACCCATGGGAGAGCAGACCATAATGAGACCCTAACCCATGGGAGAGCAGACCATAATGAGACCCTAACCCATGGGAGAGCAGACCATAATGAGACCCTAACCCATGGGAGAGCAGACCATAATGAGACCCTAACCCATGGGAGAGCAGACCATAATGAGACCCTAACCCATGGAAGAGCAGACCATAATGAGACCCTAACCCATGGGAGAGCAGACCATAATGAGACCCTAACCCATGGAAGAGCAGACCATAATGAGACCCTAACCCATGGGAGAGCAGACCATAATGAGACCCTAACCCATGGAAGAGCAGACCATAATGAGACCCTAACCCATGGGAGAGCAGACCATAATGAGACCCTAACCCATGGGAGAGCAGACCATAATGAGACCCTAACCCATGGGAGAGCAGACCATAATGAGACCCTAACCCATGGAAGAGCAGACCATAATGAGACCCTAACCCATGGGAGAGCAGACCATAATGAGACCCTAACCCATGGGAGAGCAGACCATAATGAGACCCTAACCCATGGAAGAGCAGACCATAATGAGACCCTAACCCATGGAGAGCAGACCATAATGAGACCCTAACCCATGGAAGAGCAGACCATAATGAGACCCTAACCCATGGGAGAGCAGACCATAATGAGACCCTAACCCATGGGAAGAGCAGACCATAATGAGACCCTAACCCATGGGAGAGCAGACCATAATGAGACCCTAACCCATGGGAGAGCAGACCATAATGAGACCCTAGCCCATGGGAGAGCAGACCATAATGAGACCCTAACCCATGGAAGAGCAGACCATAATGAGACCCTAACCCATGGAAGAGCAGACCATAATGAGACCCTAACCCATGGAAGAGCAGACCATAATGAGACCCTAACCCATGGGAGAGCAGACCATAATGAGACCCTAACCCATGGAAGAGCAGACCATAATGAGACCCTAACCCATGGGAGAGCAGACCATAATGAGACCCTAACCCATGGAAGAGCAGACCATAATGAGACCCTAACCCATGGAAGAGCAGACCATAATGAGACCCTAACCCATGGGAGAGCAGACCATAATGAGACCCTAACCCATGGAAGAGCAGACCATAATGAGACCCTAACCCATGGGAGAGCAGACCATAATGAGACCCTAACCCATGGAAGAGCAGACCATAATGAGACCCTAACCCATGGAAGAGCAGACCATAATGAGACCCTAACCCATGGAAGAGCAGACCATAATGAGACCCTAACCCATGGAAGAGCAGACCATAATGAGACCCTAACCCATGGAAGAGCAGACCATAATGAGACCCTAACCCATGGAAGAGCAGACCATAATGAGACCCTAACCCATGGAAGAGCAGACCATAATGAGACCCTAACCCATGGGAGAGCAGACCATAATGAGACCCTAACCCATGGAAGAGCAGACCATAATGAGACCCTAACCCATGGAAGAGCAGACCATAATGAGACCCTAGCCCATGGGAGAGCAGACCATAATGAGACCCTAACCCATGGAAGAGCAGACCATAATGAGACCCTAACCCATGGAAGAGCAGACCATAATGAGACCCTAACCCATGATGAGTTTACGAGACTTTTAAAAGAACTTTGATTCAGTACCAACAGGAAGAAGACTTTTGTTTTCCTTTTGACTCTAAGTTTTGTTCGATACCTTTGATATCTTCCTGTCCTAAGAATAAAAGGCCATTTTCTTTGCTAAATACATCTGGTTGTGAATGTTACCTTTCTTTTCCCCTTCTCAGAGCCAAGTTTAGGGTCAGAACATGCCCGAAAACCCAACAGTATCTCTGAGGACTTAAATGATGATTCTGCAACACAGATCAGAGAATCAAACGGGTCAAAACCAGCAAAGGCAACGATAGAAAACACATTGGTCCAAAAGGAGCAGAGTCCAATGTCCATAAATGTTGTTGAACGTCTAATGTCAGGATCATCTCTGACCTTTGACCCTCCTGCCTCCACAAGGACCCACTGAAAACAAAAACCCAGTGCGAAAAAGTGAGAAACCCCAGAAACTTGAGTGGCTCTGTATCAGGAGTGACCAGCAGGTGGCGGTGTTTCTCACCCTCAGAGCTATGCCCCTCTCTCTCTCAGACCAGGACTTCTGTTTGAATCATGGTCATACTCATTTCACTCACTCTATGCCATTGATATGAAGAGGGAGGATGATTGATGATGATTCAGCGTTTATCAAACACAGAAACACAACAGAGACACACACAGACACACAATAGAGACACACAGGACACACACACACACACACACACACACTGTACCTTATTCATGTGTATCTTGTTCTGTGTAGTGTAAATATTAAATATTGACTGTTTCAAGAATAAAAAATATAGAAATATAGAAAGAATTGTGTCAGTGCCATGCGGTGCCACAGCCAGTAGAGGGCGCTGGAGGCAAATGGCGGCGTAATTAAGACCAGGTGTGTAATTGTTAGTACTTTTGGATTGGTAGTGACACATTTTCAACACAAAAAAGCCTAAAGTAACTACTTTTAGCATAAAACTTAACAAACGTGTTATTGTAACGCTGAACCTGAACCACTGTATCTTCACTTGAGCTAATGATGCTAACTATGCTAACTCACTGACCTCTGACCTGTGCCTGCTCATTCACCTGCATCCTCCTGTGTGTGTGTTTCTGCCGCGTATGTGTGTGTTTTTTTGTATATCAGTGAACATTGTATATATATATATCAGTAAATGTTTCCTCTTGTGTGTGTTTGTGTGTGTCGGTGACGGATCACGCGCGGCTTGATCTCTGCCTCTGACGTGCGCGCCGTGTCCGCCTCCTCTGCCGCTTCTGCCGCCTCTGCCGCCTCAGTCTGGGAGATGCTGATCACCGGTGCACCCTCCATCCACACCGGGACCGAAGCCTCTCCTTCTCCCCGGACTCCGGACTCCATCTCCCCGGTGCCTCCATCACACGCACGCGCACACGCACGCGCACGCGCACACGGACATCCTCCAGCTGCAGGACCGTAGCGGCATCTTGCGCTGACGGATCGCGCCTGTGGCTTCACCGCGCGCTGTACTCTTCAAACTAGTGGGGTTTTTCACATTGGAATATTTAACACAACTTCTTTATAAATGCACGGATCCAAAATCGAAATGAGAGTCAGGAATGGGACCAAAACAACCACTGAACGCTGGGATGAACGCGGGTCTAAGGAGTGAGTTCTTTCTTCCCCGGCGCGGACTGAAAACGGGCTGGTCCTGATTTAGACTCAAGTTTCTTGGATTTTTGTAGTTTGTAAAGTTTTTGTGCAGAGGATGGAAGCTCGGAGTCTGCCAAAACCCTGCACGGAGAGTTTGGACGGGTTTGTGCTGGAGGTGGAGGATGTGGAGCCGGAGCCGCGGGAGAGGAGAGCGCAGTGTCCCAGGACCACAGGTGTCCTGCCTCAGCTGTGACGGTGAGACTCAGAGACTCATCTGTATTCTGCTAATGTTATGTAACATTCTTATAATCTTTATTATATACAACATTCTTATAATCTTTATTATATACAACATTCTTATATTTATTATATACAACATTCTTATATTTATTATATACAACATTCTTATAATCTTTATTATATACAACATTCTTATAATCTTTATTATATACAACATTCTTATAATCTTTATTATATACAACATTCTTATATTTATTATATACAACATTCTTATATTTATTATATACAACATTCTTATAATCTTTATTATATACAACATTCTTATAATCTTTATTATATACAACATTCTTATAATCTTTATTATATACAACATTCTTATATTTATTATATACAACATTCTTATATTTATTATATACAACATTCTTATATTTATTATATACAACATTCTTATATTTATTATATACAACATTCTTATATTTATTATATACAACATTCTTATAATCTTTATTATATACAACATTCTTATAATCTTTATTATATACAACATTCTTATAATCTTTATTATATACAACATTCTTATATTTATTATATACAACATTCTTATAATCTTTATTATATACAACATTCTTATAATCTTTATTATATACAACATTCTTATAATCTTTATTATATACAACATTCTTATAATCTTTATTATATACAACATTCTTATATTTATTATATACAACATTCTTATAATCTTTATTATATACAACATTCTTATAATCTTTATTATATACAACATTCTTATATTTATTATATACAACATTCTTATAATCTTTATTATATACAACATTCTTATCTTTATTATATACAACATTCTTATAATCTTTATTATATACAACATTCTTATAATCTTTATTATATACAACATTCTTATATTTATTATATACAACATTCTTATAATCTTTATTATATACAAAATTCTTATATTTATTATATACAACATTCTTATATTTATTATATACAACATTCTTATATTTATTATATACAACATTCTTATAATCTTTATTATAAACAACATTCATAGTTACGTCGCCCACTTCTATTGTTTTTATTTTAACATCTCTCTCTGATCACTCACCAGTGTTTGTTTATTTTACACGTTTCTGACAATTTCAGGAAAAATAATGTCAAAAGGAGGTCTGAAAAAACCAGAACATGCAGCGGACCCTGTTAACATAACACCATCAACATATGTTCTCTGCTCACAGTCATATGTTCTCTGCCCAGTCATATGTTCTCTGCTCACAGTCATATGTTCTCTGCTCACAGTCATATGTTCTCTGCTCACAGTCATATGTTCTCTGCCCACAGTCATATGTTCTCTTCTCACAGTCATATGTTCTCTGCTCACAGTCATATGTTCTCTGCTCACAGTCATATGTTCTCTTCTCACAGTCATATGTTCTCTGCTCACAGTCATATGTTCTCTGCTCACAGTCATATGTTCTCTTCTCACAGTCATATGTTCTCTGCTCAGTCATATGTTCTCTGCTCACAGTCATATGTTCTCTGCCCAGTCATATGTTCTCTGCCCACAGTCATATGTTCTCTTCTCACAGTCATATGTTCTCTGCCCACAGTCATATGTTCTCTTCTCACAGTCATATGTTCTCTGCTCACAGTCATATGTTCTCTGCCCACAGTCATATGTTCTCTTCTCACAGTCATATGTTCTCTGCCCACAGTCATATGTTCTCTGCTCACAGTCATATGTTCTCTTCTCACAGTCATATGTTCTCTGCTCACAGTCATATGTTCTCTGCTCACAGTCATATGTTCTCTTCTCACAGTCATATGTTCTCTGCTCACAGTCATATGTTCTCTGCTCACAGTCATATGTTCTCTGCTCACAGTCATATGTTCTCTGCTCACAGTCATATGTTCTCTTCTCACAGTCATATGTTCTCTGCCCAGTCATATGTTCTCTGCTCACAGTCATATGTTCTCTGCTCACAGTCATATGTTCTCTGCTCAGTCATATGTTCTCTGCTCACAGTCATATGTTCTCTGCCCAGTCATATGTTCTCTGCCCACAGTCATATGTTCTCTTCTCACAGTCATATGTTCTCTGCCCACAGTCATATGTTCTCTTCTCACAGTCATATGTTCTCTGCTCACAGTCATATGTTCTCTGCCCACAGTCATATGTTCTCTTCTCACAGTCATATGTTCTCTGCCCACAGTCATATGTTCTCTGCTCACAGTCATATGTTCTCTTCTCACAGTCATATGTTCTCTGCTCACAGTCATATGTTCTCTGCTCACAGTCATATGTTCTCTTCTCACAGTCATATGTTCTCTGCTCACAGTCATATGTTCTCTGCTCACAGTCATATGTTCTCTGCTCACAGTCATATGTTCTCTGCTCACAGTCATATGTTCTCTGCTCACAGTCATATGTTCTCTGCCCACAGTCATATGTTCTCTTCTCACAGTCATATGTTCTCTGCCCACAGTCATATGTTCTCTTCTCACAGTCATATGTTCTCTGCTCACAGTCATATGTTTGAATCCTGTTCTTATACGTCTCATTCCAACTCCACAGTCATTATTGATCATTCTTCACAATGAGAATGAGAATTAATTTTATTTGTAAGAAATAGGAAGTCACAAAATAGGAATGAACTTTGCAGTGAAAAACAAGTAATAAACAAACTGAATTCTACTGAACAAAAACAAAGAATATCCATTAAACAGATTTACAGTAAGTGCTGCCCACGCATGTTCCTGACCACAGGATTCTGCACAGACTGAGACTTTATTATTATCTTCAATATTATTAATATTTATTATTATCTTAAATTTTATTAATATGTATTATTATCTTAAATTGTATTAATATTTATTATTATCTTAAATATGATTAATATGTATTATTATCTTAAATATTATTCATATGTTTTTTCTTAAATATTATTCATATTTATTATTATCTTAAATATGATCCTGTCCAACTTGTTCCGCTGCGAGTCTTCGACAGGAGGAAAGAAACATGTGTTTGTTTGTGTTTTTATTAAGTGTTAATATTGTAAAATACATTGATTTCTGTTAATAATAATTATCATTATTTAAGATGACTAGGACAGTACAATCAACATGAACCTCAAAGAGACAGATCCATGCAGCAGGTTCTAGCTCAGAGCCCATTTCCACCTGTTTATAATATAAAGATTATATTTATGATCTGAATGTTTAATAATAATTTGGATTTTATATATGTGTGTGTGTGTGTGTGTGTGTGTGTATATAATATATATATATATATATATATATATATATATATAATAAAATTAGTGCAATTAAAATACAGTGTGTCCCTTTTTGAGCTGAGGCTTTACAGTTAACGGCGCATTACTCCAGTGGGAGCAGCTCTGATTGATCCTGACCTGAAGGATAAGAAAGGAATGAATGAAAATAACTGGTTTTGAGAATATCACACATTTTCCATTTGGACACATTTGATTAACTTCTCAGTTTTATTCTGTACAATTAGAAAGTGATCTTGGATAAAAAGACACAAAAGACACGTCAGTAAATAATAATAATAATAATAATAATAATAATAATGTCCTGTTGAAACGGTGATGGGTTAAAGCAGATAAAAGTGTTCAGAGGTGAGACATGTTTCAGTCAGAGCTGATTCTGAGCCACATGGACAATAAGACTCATGATCAGACGTCCTCAGTGTGCGGCAGATAAATGTATAAAATACACTTTGAAAACAAAATACTGTTTGTGTTTTCAAAGTCAGGTACAGCAGCTTTAAATGACTGTCACTTTTCTTCCATGTGTTTTTAGTGACTTCAGATTTCAAGATGAAGAGCTGTGGTTAAGAGCACGTCCCCCTCGTCTCTCCTCCTCTTCTCCTCCTGTTCGTTTACGTCTCCCCCGGCTCTCCTCCCTCTGCCCCCGACCCCCCACACACCCGTTGCCCCCCCACACCCCCTTGCCCCCCCTTGCCCCCCTGCAGCCGCCCCGGCCTGCGCACACATGCAGGCCAAGAAGCGGTACCTGCTCGTGTCTGTGGGGGCCGGTCTTCTCTTCCTGCTTTACCTTTGGGCTCTGCAAGTCGAGGATTACCATCATCCAAACCATCAAACCCAGAACCACATCTCCCACTCCCCACAGTCTCCTCAGCAGCACCAGCAGCAGCACCAGGAGCAGCACCAGGAGCAGCACCAGGAGCAGCACCAGGAGCAGCACCAGCAGCACCAGGAGCAGCACCAGGAGCAGCACCAGGAGCAGCACCAGGAGCAGCACCAGGAGCAGCACCAGGAGCAGCACCAGCAGCAGCACCAGCAGCAGCACCAGGAGCAGCACCAGGAGCAGTCCTACCATCAGCAGCTTTTCAGAGCAGACGGCGTGGAGAGCTTCCGGTCTGGGCCCCTGCCTCGGCCCCGGAGAGGCCCAAAGCAGTGGAGCAGGAGCAGGGCGTCTCTGGAGCCTTATCTGGAAGGAGGAGAGCAGGAGGTGACGCTCGTTACACATCTGTAATTAGTGCCTCAGTCGTTACACATCTGTAATTAGTGCCTCAGTCGTTACACATCTGTAATTAGTGCTTCAGTTGTTACACATCTGTAATTAGTGCTTCAGTCGTTACACATCTGTAATTAGTGCTTCAGTCGTTACACATCTGTAATTAGTGCTTCAGTCGTTACACATCTGTAATTAGGGCCTCAGTCGTTACACATCTGTAATTAGTGCTTCAGTCGTTACACATCTGTAATTAGTGCTTCAGTCGTTACACATCTGTAATTAGTGCTTCAGTCGTTACACATCTGTAATTAGTGCTTCAGTCGTTACACATCTGTAATTAGTGCTTCAGTCGTTACACATCTGTAATTAGTGCCTCAGTCGTTACACATCTGTAATTAGTGCTTCAGTCGTTACACATCTGTAATTAGTGCTTCAGTTGTTACACATCTGTAATTAGTGCTTCAGTCGTTACACATCTGTAATTAGTGCTTCAGCCTGTTTGGATCATTACTGCAGAGTTAATTATTCATCAACACCTTTGAGCTGAAATCATATTTTTAAATATAGTTAGTTTTTAAAAACATTAAAACAGACTTTTCAGAGTAGTTTCTCTTTGATAACCCAGGTCTGTGTTGGTCTAATACAGATAAAGTCTTGCCCGTTCTTGAGTAAATCTTTTGAATTTCACGCCAAACACACAAGATTGGAGCCAACAAAATTCATTTTTTATGTTTTATTTTCACAACAGAGAGTTTGTGTAAATGACCAAAAGAACAAAGCTTCGTGTTTCTTTTTCCTCTGACCTGGAGTCGGCTCATGACGTTCACTGTTCATCTCCTTGGTCTTACTGGTGTTCAAGCACAAGTGGTTGCGCTCACACCAGTCGACAAAGTCCTTGATAACCGACCGATATTCCAGTTGGTTCCCCTCAGACACACAGCCCACGATGGCGGAGTCGTCGGAGAACTTCTGCAGGTGACAGCTGTGTGTGTCGTGTGTGAAGTCTGAGGTGTAGATGGTGAAGAGAAACGGTGAGAGGACAGTGCCCTGAGGGGCCCCAGTGCTGCAGACGACCACCTCAGACTCACAGCTGCGCAGCCGCACGTACTGTGGTCGCTCTGAGAGGTAGTTGATGGTCCTGCAGTGAGGTAGTTGATGGTCCATGCAGTGAGGCTACTGTCCACTCCCGCGTCCTCCATCTTCCGCCGCAGCAGTGCCGGCCTGATGGTATTGAAAGCGCTGGAGAAGTCGAAAAACATGACCCTCACAGCGCTCCCGGGGGGCTCCAGGTGGGAGAGCATCCGCTGCAGGAAGCAGCGGTAGATGACGGCGTCCTCTACTCCGATGTTGGGTCTGTAGGCGAACTGCAGCGGGTCCAGGGTGGGGCTGACCACGGAGCGGAGATGGGTGAGGATGAGCCGCTCCATGGTCTTCATCAGGTGGGAGGTCAGTGCTCCATGGTCTTCATCAGGTGGGAGGTCAGTGCTCCATGGTCTTCATCAGGTGGGAGGTCAGTGCGACTGGTCTGTAGTGAGCCGGTTCCTTGGCGTGTGCTGTTTTTGGAACCGGGATCACACAGGAGGTCTTCCACAGGAGGTCTTCCACAGGAGGTCTTCCACAGGAGGTCTTCCACAGGAGGTCTTCCACAGGACAGGGACCTTCTCCAGGCTGAGGCTCAGGTTGTACATGTAGCTGAGGACCCCAGAGAGCTGGTCTCAAGGAGCACTGTGCAAGCAATTATATTGAAATGGAAGGAGTATCAGACCACTGCAAATCTACCAAGACCCGGCCGTCCCTCCAAACTTTCATCTCAAACAAGGAGAAGACTGATCAGAGATGCAGCCAAGAGGCCCATGATCACTCTGGATGAACTGCAGATAACTACAGCTGAGGTGGGAGAGTCTGTCCATAGGACAACAATCAGTTGTGCACTGCACAAATCTGGCCTTTATGGAAGAGTGGCAAGAAGAAAGCCATTTCTCAAAGATATCCATAAAAAGTCTTGTTTAAAGTTTGCCACAAGCCACCTGGGAGACACACCAAACATGTGGAAGAAGGTGCTCTGGTCAGATGAAACCAAAATCAAACTTTTTGGCCACAATGCAAAACGATATGTTTGGCGTAAAAGCAACACAGCTCATCACCCTGAACACACCATCCCCACTGTCAAACATGGTGGTGGCAGCATCATGCTTTGGGCCTGCTTTTCTTCAGCAGGGACAGGGAAGATGGCTAAAATTGATGGGAAGATGGATGGAGCCAAATACAGGACCATTCTGGAAGAAAACCTGTTGGAGTCTGCAAAAGACCTGAGACTGGGACGGAGATTTATCTTCCAACAGGACAATGATCCAAAACATAAAGCCAAATCTACAATGGAATGGTTCACAAATAGACGTATCCAGGTGTTAGAATGGCCAAGTCAAAGTCCAGACCTGAATCCAATCGAGAATCTGTGGAAAGAGCTGAAGACTGCTGTTCACAAACGCTCTCCATCCAACCTCACTGAGCTCCAGCTGTTTTGCAAGGACGAATGGGAAAGAATTCCAGTCTCTCGATGTGCAAAACTGATAGAGACATACCCCAAGCGACTTGCAGCTGTTATTGCAGCAAAAGGTGGCGCTACAAAGTATTAGCGCAAGGGGGGCCGAATAATATTGCACGGCCCACTTTTCAGTCTTTTATTTGTTAAAAAAGTTTAAATTATCCAATAAATTTCGTTCCACTTCACGATTGTGTCCCACTTGTTGTTTCTTGACAAAAAATTAAATTTTTATATCTTTTGTTTGAAGCCTAAAATGTGGCAAAATGTTGAAAGGTTCAAGGGGGCCGTATACTTTCGCAAGGCACTGTACAGTACAGTACAGTATGCTCTGTCAGATACAGTATGGTACAGTATGGTACAGTATAGTACAGTACAGTATGCTCTGTCAGATACAGTATGGTACAGTATAGTACAGTATGCTCTGTCAGATACAGTATGGTACAGTATAGTACAGTATGCTCTGTCAGATACAGTATGGTACAGTATGTTCTGGCAGATACAGTATGGTACAGTATGGTACAGTATAGTATGCTCTGGCAGATGCAGTGTGGTACAGTATAGTACGGTATAGTACAGTACAGTATGCTCTGGCAGATGCAGTATGGTACAGTATAGTACAGTATAGTATGCTCTGGCAGATGCAGTGTGGTACAGTATAGTACGGTATAGTACAGTACAGTATGCTCTGGCAGATGCAGTATGGTACAGTATAGTACAGTACAGTATGCTCTGGCAGATACAGTATGGTACAGTATGGTACAGTATAGTACAGTACAGTATGCTCTGGCAGATGCAGTATAGTACAGTGTGGTACAGTATAGTACAGTACAGTATGCTCTGGCAGATACAGTATGGTACAGTATAGTACAGTACAGTATGCTCTGGCAGATACAGTATGGTACAGTATAGTACAGTATAGTACAGTACAGTATGCTCTGGCAGATACAGTATAGTACAGTATGGTACAGTATAGTACAGTACAGTATGCTCTGGCAGATACAGTATGGTACAGTATAGTACAGTATAGTACAGTACAGTATGCTCTGGCAGATGCAGTATAGTACAGTATGGTACAGTATAGTACAGTACAGTATGCTCTGGCAGATACAGTATGGTACAGTATAGTACAGTATAGTACAGTACAGTATGCTCTGGCAGATGCAGTATTGACACGGAACAATAGATCGTGTTTGAAATGATTGACATAGATACAGTGCAGAAATATGTACCAAAAACAACCGTTGCTATGGTTACAGTCCACAAAGACCATTTACATAAGTGTACAATAATAATAATCATATTTACATAAACACAGGCGAATTAACACAACAACACACAGACTCTCACCACCGCGCTTTTCAAACGAAGCCAAAGCAGCGGCGGCGGCGGCGGCAGGAGGGCCCACAGAGGGCCTTTAATGTGCAGCTCCTGTGTCTCTCAGAGTCTCAGAGGGCGGGACACTGATTGTCTGAGCGCCGTGTGTTTGTGTGTGTGTGCGTGTGTATAAATGTATGTGCATGTGTGTGTGTGTGCGTGGGCGTGTGTATAAATGTATGTGCGTGTGTGTATATAGGTGTGCGTGTGTGTGTGTGTGTATAAATGTAGGTGCGTGTGTGTATATACTGTAGGTGTGTGTGCGTGTTTGTGTGTGTTTGTGTGTGTGTGGTGCAGGCTGAGAGCAGATGGTACATAATAATAATTGTTATATTTTCTCTTACCGATAGGACTTAAATGTGGGTCCCATGCGTCTTAGAGAACACGTACATTGCTTCCTTCAGTTCCAGAGTAAATGTAACCTCTGTGTCTCCTGCAGGAGGACAGCCCACAGCTGCAGCACCAGCACACGTCTCCCCGTGAGCGCAGAGCCATCCGCGACAACATCTACCGCAACCGCCGCTGCCGCATGGAGACCTGTTTCGACTTCAGCCGCTGCCAGTCCGGCTTCAGAGTGTACGTGTATCCGGCGCAGAGGGGCGACGCAGTCTCCGAGAGCTACCAGAAGATCCTGTCGGCCATCAAGGAGTCCCGCTTCCACACGTCCGACCCGGCCAAAGCCTGCCTCTTCGTGCCCGCCGTGGACACGCTGGACCGGGACCTGCTCTCAGCCCAGTACGTGCAGAACGCGCGCTCTCGGATTCAGAGTCTGCCCATGTGGAACGACGGCAAGAACCACCTCATCTTCAACCTGTACTCAGGCACGTGGCCGGACTACAGCGAGGAGCTGGGCTTCGAGGTGGGCCAGGCCATGCTCGCCAAGGCCAGCGCCGACACGGTCAACTTCAGACCCAACTTCGACATCTCCATCCCGCTGTTCCCCAAAGAGCACCCGCTGAAGGGGGAGGCGCAGGCGGGTTACGTGGCTCTGAGCGACGCGCCACCGTCCAGGAAGTACCTGCTGGTTTTCAAAGGGAAGCGATACCTCACGGGCATCGGCTCCGAGACCAGGAACGCCCTCTACCACATCCACAACGGGGACGATATCCTCCTGCTGACCACCTGCAAGCACGGCAAGGACTGGGAGAGGCACAAGGACTCACGCTGCGACCGCGATAATCTGCAGTACTCCAGGTAAGTCCTTCATCACGCCATGACGACGCTGCTCGGCCCATGTTTGCAATGTTTTATGGTCCGTCGCAGCCATGGATCTATGATAATAACCCTTTGAGACTTAGTTACATGGTTTTGAATAGAGCTGGTCTGGATTGGCTTGGTTTGGATCTTTGCAAACTTCTATACTCGGGGTTAACGTTTTTGTGGTCGCAATTAGTGTGTGAGACCCCATTTATAAGCTTTGAGGGTCCATTTATGTCACACATACACAGCTGCAGGACATGGGCATACATACACAGGTGCAGCACATGGGCATACATACACAGCTGCAGGACATGGGCATACATACACAGGTGCAGCACATGGGCATACATACACAGCTGCAGCACATGGGCATACATACACAGGTGCAGCACATGGGCATACATACACAGGTGCAGCACATGGGCATACATACACAGGTGCAGCACATGGGCATACATACACAGGTGCAGCATATGGGCATACATACACAGGTGCAGCGCATGGGCATACATACACAGCTGCAGGGCATGGGCATACATACACAGGTGCAGCGCATGGGCATACATACACAGGTGCAGCACATGGGCATACATACACAGCTGCAGCACATGGGCATACATACACAGCTGCAGCACATGGGCATACATACACAGGTGCAGCACATGGGCATACATACACAGGTGCAGCACATGGGCATACATACACAGCTGCAGCACATGGGCATACATACACAGCTGCAGGGCATGGGCATACATACACAGGTGCAGCACATGGGCATACATACACAGGTGCAGCACATGGGTATACATACACAGGTGCAGCACATGGGCATTCATACACAGGCGCAGATCATGGGCATATATACACAGCTGCAGGACATGGGCATACATACACAGGTGCAGCACATGGGCATACATACACAGGCGCAGATCATGGGCATACATACACAGGTGCAGAACATGGGCATACATACACAGGCGCAGATCATGGGCATACATACACAGCTGAAGGACATGGGCATACATACACAGGTGCAGCACATGGGCATACATACATAGGTGCAGCACATGGGCATACATACACAGGCGTAGATCATGGGCATACATACACAGGTGCAGAACATGGGCATACATACACAGGTGCAGCACATGGGCACACATACACAGCTGCAGGACATGGGCATACATACACAGGTGCAGCACATGGGTATACATACACAGGTGCAGCACATGGGCATACATACACTGGCGCAGATCATGGGCATATATACACAGCTGCAGGACATGGGCATACATACACAGGTGCAGCACATGGGCATACATACACAGGTGCAGCACATGGGCACACATACACAGCTGCAGGACATGGGCATACATACACAGGTGCAGCACATGGGTACACATACACAGCTGCAGGACATGGGCATACATACACAGGTGCAGCACATGGGTATACATACACAGGTGCAGCACATGGGCATACATACACTGGCGCAGATCATGGGCATATATACACAGCTGCAGGACATGGGCATACATACACAGGTGCAGCACATGGGCATACATACACAGGCGCAGATCATGGGCATACATACACAGGTGCAGAACATGGGCATACATACACAGGCGCAGATCATGGGCATACATACACAGCTGAAGGACATGGGCATACATACACAGCTGCAGGACATGGGCATACATACACAGGTGCAGCACATGGGCATACATACACAGCTGCAGGACATGGGCATACATACACAGCTGCAGGACATGGGCATACATACACAGCTGCAGGACATGGGCATACATACACAGGTGCAGTACATGGGCATACATACACAGGCGCAGATCATGGGCATACATACACAGCTGCAGGACATGGGCATACATACACAGCTGCAGGACATGGGCATACATACACAGGTGCAGCACATGGGCATACATACACAGGTGCAGCACATGGACACACATACACAGCTGCAGGACATGGGCATACATACACAGGTGCAGCACATGGGTATACATACACAGGTGCAGCACATGGGCATACATACACAGGCGCAGATCATGGGCATATATACACAGCTGCAGGACATGGGCATACATACACAGCTGCAGGACATGGGCATACATACACAGGTGCAGCACATGGGCATACATACACAGGCGCAGATCATGGGCATACATACACAGCTGAAGGACATGGGCATACATACACAGCTGCAGGACATGGGCATACATACACAGGTGCAGCACATGGGCATACATACACAGGCGCAGATCATGGGCATACATACACAGGCGCAGATCATGGGCATACATACAGAGCTGCAGGATATGGGCATACATACACAGGTGCAGCACATGGGCATACATACACAGGTGCAGCACATGGGCATACATACACAGGTGCAGCACATGGGCATACATACACAGGTGCAGCACATGGGCATATATACACAGGTGCAGCACATGGGCATATATACACAGCTGCAGGACATGGGCATACATACACAGCTGCAGGACATGGGCATACATACACAGCTGCAGGACATGGGCATACATACACAGCTGCAGCACATGGGTATACATACACAGGCGCAGATCATAGGCATATATACACAGCTGCAGGACATGGGCATACATACACAGGTGCAGCACATGGGCATACATACACAGGTGCAGCACATGGGCATACATACACAGGTGCAGCACATGGGCATACATACACAGCTGAAGGACATGGGCATACATACACAGGTGCAGGACATGGGCATACATACACAGGTGCAGCACATGGGCATACATACACAGGCGCAGATCATGGGCATACATACACAGCTGCAGCACATGGGCATACATACACAGCTGCAGGACATGGGCATACATACACAGGTGCAGCACATGGACATACATACACAGGCGCAGATAATGGGCATACATACACAGCTGCAGATCATGGGCATACATACACAGGTGCAGCACATGGGCATACATACACAGCTGCAGGACATGGACATACATACACAGCTGCAGATTATGGGCATACATACACAGCTGCAGATCATGGGCATACATACACAGCTGCAGATCATGGGCATACATACACAGCTGCAGCACATGGGCATACATACACAGCTGCAGATCATGGGCATACATACACAGGTGCAGCACATGGGCATACATACACAGGTGCAGCACATGGGCATACATACACAGCTGAAGGTCATGGGCATACATACACAGCTGCAGGAAATGGGCATACATACACAGGTGCAGCACATGGGCATACATACACAGGCGCAGATCGTGGGCATACATACACAGCTGCAGGACATGGGCATACATACACAGCTGCAGGACATGGGAATACATACACAGGTGCAGCACATGGGCATACATACACAGGTGCAGCACATGGGCACACATACACAGCTGCAGGACATGGGCATACATACACAGGTGCAGCACATGGGTATACATACACAGGTGCAGCACATGGGCATACATACACTGGCGCAGATCATGGGCATATATACACAGCTGCAGGACATGGGCATACATACACAGGTGCAGCACATGGGCATACATACACAGGCGCAGCACATGGGCATACATACACAGGCGCAGATCATGGGCATATATACACAGCTACAGGACATGGGCATACATACACAGCTGCAGGACATGGGCATACATACACAGGTGCAGCACATGGGCACACATACACAGCTGCAGGACATGGGCATACATACACAGGTGCAGCACATGGGTATACATACACAGGTGCAGCACATGGGCATACATACACAGGCGCAGATCATGGGCATATATACACAGCTGCAGGACATGTGCATACATACACAGCTGAAGGACATGGGCATACATACACAGGTGCAGCACATGGGCATACATACACAGGCGCAGATCATGGGCATACATACACAGCTGAAGGACATGGGCATACATACACAGCTGCAGGACATGGGCATACATACACAGGTGCAGCACATGGGCATACATACACAGGCGCAGATCATGGGCATACATACACAGGCGCAGATCATGGGCATACATACACAGCTGCAGGACATGGGCATACATACACAGGTGCAGCACATGGGCATACATACACAGGCGCAGATCATGGGCATACATACACAGCTGAAGGACATGAGCATACATACACAGGTGCAGCACATGGGCATACATACACAGGCGCAGATCATGGGCATACATACACAGCTGAAGGACATGGGCATACATACACAGCTGCAGCACATGGGCATACATACACAGGTGCAGCACATGGGCATACATACACAGGCGCAGATCATGGGCATACATACACAGGTGCAGCACATGGGCATACATACACAGGTGCAGCACATGGGCATACATACACAGGTGCAGCACATGGGCATACATACACAGGTGCAGCACATGGGCATACATACACAGGTGCAGCACATGGGCATACATACACAGGTGCAGCACATGGGCATATATACACAGCTGAAGGACATGGGCATACATACACAGCTGCAGGACATGGGCATACATACACAGCTGCAGGACATGGGCATACATACACAGGTGCAGCACATGGGCATACATACACAGGTGCAGCACATGGGCATACATACACAGGTGCAGCACATGGGCATACATACACAGGTGCAGCACATGGGCATACATACACAGGCGCAGCACATGGGCATACACACACAGCTGAACGACATGGGCATACATACACAGGTGCAGCACATGGGCATACATACACAGGCGCAGATCATGGGCATACATACACAGCTGCAGGACTTGGGCATACATACACAGGTGCAGCACATGGACATACATACACAGGCGCAGATCATGGGCATACATACACAGCTGCAGGACATGGGCATACATACACAGGTGCAGCACATGGACATACATACACAGGCGCAGATCATGGGCATATATACACAGCTGCAGGACATGGACATACATACACAGCTGCAGATTATGGGCATACATACACAGCTGCAGATCATGGGCATACATACACAGGTGCAGCACATGGACATACATACACAGGTGCAGCACATGGGCATACATACACAGGTGCAGCACATGGGCATACATACACAGGTGCAGCACATGGGCATACATACACAGCTGCATGTTCCTTTTATCGCAGGGAAGAAGAGTTAGCATTTTGTATGACTTTGTTTTTTTACAGTGTAGGATGATTTTTTGGTTCAGGACTTTTTGCTTCAGGCGTCGAGACGAATGACTAATACACAAATGTAATGTCTTTTGTTGACGCACACGCCACACAATGCTAATCACACACGAGGCGCTAATCGAGTGAATCAATATTGAGATAGTTAAGTGAGTAAACAATGCATTACACACAATCTGCCTTTGTTTTGAATGGAAGGCTTTAAGTTGGACTTTCTCACACGTTATTTATAATTCATGATCTCATTATCAGCTCTTGTTTTTGTGATCGTTCTATCTTCACACCGTCTATTGTTGTCGTCGTTGTGTTTGAGATGCTGTCGATCACAGCAACAACGTGGCTCTGGGAAAATAAAAATATAATAAAAAAAACCTCCAGCTGAGAATGGGAGAAGAAGAGTGTGTGTGTTTGGTGACTGTCATGAATGTGCCAACACTGAGGGGCTCCTGCTGAAGAGGGGCTCCTGCTGAAGAGGGGCTCCTGCTGAAGAGGAGCTCCTGCTGAAGAGGGGCTCCTGCTGAAGAGGGGCTCCTGCTGAAGAGGGGCTCCTGCTGAAGAGGGGCTCCTGCTGAAGAGGGGCTCCTGCTGAAGAGGGGCTCCTGCTGAAGAGGGGCTCCTGCTGAAGAGGAGCTCCTGCTGAAGAGGGGCTCCTGCTGAAGAGGGGCTCCTGCTGAAGAGGAGCTCCTGCTGAAGAGGGGCTCCTGCTGAAGAGGGGCTTGTAACTCAGCAGTGGGTCTGAGCAGAAACAGTCCAAACATAAAGATGCTGAAGTTTACTTTTGTAGAACAGAGGTTTTAGGGTTCCTTTCACTTAATAACATTAATGTTCTTAGCATGGGGTGAAGGGGGAGCAGTGTCTGCAGTCAGAGCTCCATAGGACTGTTGTGGTGAAGAGGGAGCAGTGTCTGCAGTCAGAGCTCCATAGGACTCTTGTGGTGAAGAGGGAGCAGTGTCTGCAGTCAGAGCTCCATAGGACTCTTGTGGTGAAGGGGGAGCAGTGTCTGCAGTCAGAGCTCCATAGGACTGTTGTGGTGAAGGGGGAGCAGTGTCTGCAGTCAGAGCTCCATAGGACTGTTGTGGTGAAGGGGGAGCAGTGTCTGCAGTCAGAGCTCCATAGGACTGTTGTGGTGAAGGGGGAGCAGTGTCTGCAGTCAGAGCTCCATAGGACTGTTGTAGTGAAGGGGGAGCAGTGTCTGCAGTCAGAGCTCCATAGGACTGTTGTGGTGAAGGGGGAGGTGACCGTCCTCAGCTTGTCTCATGAGCTTTAGGTAATGATCAGTGGGGGCGGGTCCTGGCTTAAAAAGGTCACGTGTGGTGACAATCTTTCTCCTTGGCGGTGGGGGTGTACCCGGAAACAGAATTATCCGATACATTCTTATGGCACAATATTTTGAAAACGGCTTTACAGCCCAGTCCAAAAGACGCTAAGTCCCAGATGTGTGTCAATGCTGAGGGAGGTGTTGTTTTTGGACCAGCCTAGTTTATCCGCTGTAGACTTCTGAATGAACATTTTTCAGCCATGTGTCAGAGTGGATCTATCTAACGCATGCACAAATGATACCACCTCCGGTCAGAAAGCGGCTCATGGTTTTTCACCCTTTTCCTGCAGGAGGGGCTACCTGCGCCAGTTTGATAAGGTACATGTTGATCACACATTTCAACAGAGGACTTGGGCGTCTCTACGTCTGTTAATATTGACAGTCTCTGGTAATGGTCAAAATGAGCTTCCTCCCCAGAGTGGCTCGTGCTCCCTCAGAGATAGAGGAGCTCAGGTACACGGGGGGAGCTCAGGTACAGTAGAACCAAGCGTCTCCGCTTAGACTGCTGCCCCTGTGACCCGGCAACAGGTAAAGCAGAAGAAAATGGATGGATGGATTAGCACCATGACTCCTTTTTTCTTACAGCATATGATTATTTTTGTATGTTGTCTATATGTTTACATATTCAAACAGTTTGTCTAAACGTATCAGCAGTATTCAGATCATCAGTACAACCCCTGACCAGTACAACCCCTGACCAGTACGACCCTGACCAGTACAACCCTGACCAGTACAACCCTGACCAGTACAACCCTGACCAGTACAACCCTGACCAGTACAACCCTGACCAGTACAACCCCTGACCAGTACAACCCCTGACCAGTACAACCCTGACCAGTACAACCCTGACAGTACAACCCTGACCAGTACAACCCTGACCAGTACAACCCTGACCAGTACAACCCTGACCAGTACAACCCTGACCAGTACAACCCTGACCAGTACAACCCTGACCAGTACAACCCTGACCAGTACAACCCTGACCAGTACAACCCTGACCAGTACAACCCTGACCAGTACAACCCCTGACCAGTACAACCCCTGACCAGTACAACCCCTGACCAGTACAACCCTGACCAGTACAACCCTGACCAGTACAACCCCTGACCAGTACAACCCTGACCAGTGACAACACCTGACCAGTACAACCCTGACCAGTACAACCCTGACCAGTACAACCCTGACCAGTACAACCAGTACAACCTGACCAGTACAACCCCTGACCAGTACAACAACCCCTGACCAGTACAACCCTGACCAGTACAACCCTGACCAGTACAACCTGACCAGTACAACCCCTGACCAGTACAACCCTGACCAGTACAACCCTTGACCAGTACAACCCTGACCAGTACAACCCCTGACCAGTACAACCCCTGACCAGTACAACCCTGACCATACAACCCTGACCAGTACAACCCTGACCAGTACAACCCTGACCAGTACAACCCCTGACCAGTACAACCCCTGACCAGTACAACCCCTGACCAGTACAACCCCTGACCAGTACAACCCTGACCAGTACAACCCTGACCAGTACAACCCTGACCAGTACAACCCCTGACCAGTACAACCCTGACCAGTACAACCCCTGACCAGTACAACCCTGACAGTACAACCCCTGACCAGTACAACCCCTGACCAGTACAACCCTGACCAGTACAACCCTGACCAGTACAACCCTGACCAGTACAACCCTGACCACGACAGTACAACCAGTACAACCCTGACCAGTACAACCCCTGACCAGTACAACCCTGACCAGTACAACCCTGACAGTACAACCCTGACCAGTACAACCCTGACCAGTACACCACCCCCTGACCAGTACAACCCTGACCAGTACAACCCTGACCAGTACAACCCTGACCAGTACAACCCTGACCAGTACAACCCCTGACCAGTACAACCCCATACAACCCCTGACCAGTACAACCCCTGACCAGTACAACCTGACCAGTACAACCCGACCAGTACAACCCTGACCAGTACAACCCTGACCAGTACAACCCTGACCAGTACAACCCTGACCAGTACAACCCTGACCAGTACAACCCCTGACCAGTACAACCCTGACCAGTACAACCCTGACCAGTACAACCCTGACCAGTACAACCCTGACCAGTACAACCCTGACCAGTACAACCCGACCATAACTGACCAGTACAACCCCTGAACCACCAGTACAACCCCTGACCAGTACAACCCTGACCAGTACAACCCCTGACCAGTACAACCCTGACCAGTACAACCCTGACCAGTACAACCCTGACCAGTACAACCCTGACCAGTACAACCCCTGACCAGTACAACCCCTGACCAGTACAACCCTGACCAGTACAACCCTGACCAGTACAACCCTGCCTAAACCCCTGACAGTACAACCCTGACCAGTACAACCCTGACCAGTACAACCCCTGACCAGTACACACCAGTACAACCCTGACCAGTACAACCCTGACCAGTACAACCCCTGACCAGTACAACCCTGACCAGTACAACCCTGACCAGTACAACCAGTCACTGACCAGTACAACCCTGACCAGTACAACCCTGACCAGTACAACCAGTACAACCCCCTGACCAGTACAACCCTGACCAGTACAACCTGACCAGTACAACCCCTGACCAGTACAACCCTGACCAGTACAACCCTGACCAGTACAACCCTGACCAGTACAACCCTGACCAGTACAACCCCTGACCAGTACAACCCTGACCAGTACAACCCCTGACCAGTACAACCCTGACCAGTACAACCCTGACCAGTACAACCCTGACCAGTACAACCCTGACCAGTACAACCCTGACCAGTACAACCCCTGACCAGTACAACCCTGACCAGTACAACCCTGACCAGTACAACCACTCATTTTGAATCTGATCTGAACCTGAACACTTATAGCAGGCCTTGGTTTCAGCACCACGGACAGCGCTGAGCTGAAATGGTACAATGACGTCTTTGACTCGTGGTGAATCTATAAACATGATGGTTTCCTCCTCATCGACCCTTCTCTCTGCTTTTGTTTCTTGAAGTCATTCTGCGTCGGTTCGTTCCTTCCCACTTCCTTTTAAGAGGCTCCCTGACAGTGATGAATCAGACCAGGCCTTTTCATCCAATAAAGTCTATTCACAGCGGCTCCCGGAAAATGAATTGTTGCTTTGTTTTCTGGCGACCGACAAGACGTTTTGACAGACTGTTTTAAGTGTGAGAGAGCGCAGACACATCTCCAGGATGTAATGGATGCAGTCGTACACGCCGCCGCCATTATAGATGTGAAACATTCCAAATGGTTTCTAATTGGATCACTGCCGTATTAAATACAACAGTTATTGTGTGCTGCGTGGGACTGACCGGCCTCAAACGAATGAGACAAAAGCTGAATCATTCTCTGTGTCTATTGTGTTGCAACAATGACAGTTGGGGAATCTCTTTTTTTAAGGGAAGAAATTAGGTTTTTTAGTGCCACTAAGATCGGTAACTATTAAATGAATCTATTTGGCATAAACAACGAAACTATACAATGTATAATATGAATCATAGAATATATATTAGGAGTGGACAGACCGAGGCCGAGGCCGCTGACGCCACTATTGTGTTTGCTAAGTTTTGAGATTTAACCTCACTTGTGATTGTGGAGGATAAGTGTCTTCTCTATAATATTATAAATGTTGTTTTTAAATACTCCAGATTCAGGAAACAGTTTGTTGTGATGTTAGTTTCCGCAGTGAACTCCAGAACGCCACGACTGATCCATCATCTGTAGAGTCTGCTGTCTGAGATTGTGATTTAATAAGCTGCTGAAGAGTTGAATAATTCCTGCTGTTTATAATTTCATGTTTTAAAGACGGAGATGCAGCTGTTGTCACATCTGGAGGAGCGGCCTGTGCTCTATTCTTGGGTTTCATCTGACGTCAGGGCAGTGAATGACAAACGTAGGACAGGACGTGACGTACCCTGGCGGTGCAGTCTGCCGGGTTTATACACAGAGATATAGTAGAAGAAGAAGTGGTTTATACACGGAGATATAGTAGAAGAAGAAGTGGTTTATACACGGAGATATAGTAGAAGAAGAAGTGGTTTATACACGGAGATATAGTAGAAGAAGTGGTTTATACACGGAGATATAGTAGAAGAAGTGGTTTATACACGGAGATATAGTAGAAGAAGAAGCGGTTTATACACGGAGATATAGTAGAAGAAGAAGCATCTTTGTGTGCGGTGTACGCTTGTAGCAACCGCACAAATAGAGAGAAAGACCAGAGTTTGTTCATGTTCCAACTGTGGTCTCATATAAAGGAGGATACTTTGAAAAAATCACTGGAATGAGGCGGAGGTGGATCAAGGCTTTCCCAGATAAGCGCCCCCTGCAGGCCACCCCAATGAAACACAGCAATTTCTTCTGTTTTTGTTTTTCAAAAATGCCCAAAATCAAGACTCTTTTGAAAAATATTTGTTAGTACTTCCTTAGAATTGAGTGTCCCCGATTAAGACTGTTCCAACAACCGTACACCGCACAGGAGGAGAACCTTTGACTCCAAAACAGACTTTACATGGTTTTTAATGGGAGCAAAACTGTCCCATCTCTGCTCATGCGCCCCCTACTGGCCAGTTTAATGAAACACAAGAATACAGTATAGGCGGGGGTCAGGGGTCAGGGGTCAGGGGTCGGCTGCTCTGTGAGGGCTCTGCTGAAGAGGTTTAGTTGTTTAAGGTGAAGGAAGAAAATTTGGATGTGATAAATTGTAATATTTAGTGTATTTGAAAATAGTTTTCACTCAGAATAAGAGCGATACTAAGCCACGAAAAGCTCCTGTGTGTGTTTTCCTGCATCACTCATTCTAACTAGAATAAAATACATTCTGAAAATAGAGGAAGAAACTCAGTATGTACAAACTTTTACCATCTCAGATTTAAACAAAACACATCGACATTGGCCAAAATGTTCACCTCGGTGCATCCTGAGTTCATTTGGCTCTAACTTCTGAGGCCATGGAGAGTCTTGGACATAAGCTCCATTACTGACCAAAAAACAACATACTTTTGATTTTAAATATCACTAAGTCAGTGTCAAAGGGGCCAGTGTGTCTGCAGTCTGCTCCACCTTGGTTGGAATGAAAACCTGCAGCCACACCGTCCCTTTCTGGACCCGGTTGGACTCTGTGAGTGGTTCATACATGTTCTCAGTGTGTGTGAACGTAAACACTTGTTACTGTGAATGTGTTGTTGTTCACTAACATCACAACATGAAGAAACTCTGAATTAATGTGAATTATTTTATATAATCATCAAAACCTGCTCCATGACATTTGTTTCTATTCACTTTCCTCCAAATGATAAGATCTGGTTAAACAGTTGTGAGATTCTTCTGTGAGTCCAGAGTTATCAATACGTCTGTGGCCGGGCTCCTGGAGGGTAAAAGGATCGATCTGATTGGACTGGGATGCAGCAGCCAATCAGAACGCTAACGGAGGTTAATGGTTGTGGACCTGTGTGGAAAGCCAAACATAGATTGGCATTTAGATGAAAGAAGACTTGGCATTTCTATAAAGTGACCCTTTGGCAGATAATCCATCCACAGAGGTGACCGTTACCGTGGCGATCAATTACCAAGATATTAAAGATAATCGTTAGCAGCCGACAGCCCACACTGACCACGATATATATATATATATATATATATATATATATATATATATATATATATATATATATATACATACATACATACATACAGACTTTTTACATATTGTACAAAATTGACTTTTTCTCTTGGAGCATTGTTTCTTCATATAAACAGTCTTGTAGTTTTTAGATCCATCCACATTAATAACACAAACATAGCCCCGCCCCTTCTGTCTGAAAGCTCCTGTCTCAGTCCTGTAAGAGTGTGATGTGTGTGATGTGTGTGATGTGTGTGATGTGTGTGATGTGTGTGATGTGTGTGATGTATGCAGGTGTTGATGCTGTGTTTAAACAGACTTGAAACAGTGTAGACCCAGATCAGAGCTCATTGCGGTCTTTAATCTCTCTGAGAGAAACCTTCTGCTTCATCACAAACTCACCTGACCGTCACTGAACACATGTCTCTGTCTTTATCTGTCTTTACTGGGACCAGGACGAGCCTTTCTGAGGCTGGACACATGTCTCTGTCTTTATCTGTCTTTACTGGGACCAGGACGAGCCTTTCTGAGGCTGGACACATGTCTCTGTCTTTATCTGTCTTTACTGGGACCAGGACGAGCCTTTCTGAGGCTGGACACATGTCTCTGTCTTTATCTGTCTTTACTGGGACCAGGACGAGCCTTTCTGAGGCTGCAGTGCTCTTTGATTTAGGGAAGAATAATCTGAGGAGCACAGGGACTGGCCTCCTGCTGGGACTCTGAGGAGCACAGGGACTGGACTCCTGCTGGGACTCTGAGGAGCACAGGGACTGGACTCCTGCTGGGACTCTGAGGAGCACAGGGACTGGACTCCTGCTGGGACTCTGAGGAGCACAGGGACTGGCCTCCTGCTGGGACTCTGAGGAGCACAGGGACTGGCCTCCTGCTGGGACTCTGAGGAGCACAGGGACTGGCCTCCTGCTGGGACTCTGAGGAGCACAGGGACTGGCCTCCTGCTGGGACTCTGAGGAGCACAGGGACTGGACTCCTGCTGAGACTCTGAGGAGCACAGGGACTGGACTCCTGCTGGGACTCTGAGGAGCACAGGGACTGGCCTCCTGCTGGGACTCTGAGGAGCACAGGGACTGGCCTCCTGCTGGGACTCTGAGGAGCACAGGGACTGGCCTCCTGCTGGTCCCAGAGTGATGTGTCTTGTTCTGGTCCTCTCCGGGGCCACAGTGATGGAAACAGCTGATGCTAACAGTGAGTCAGCGTTAATGATGCTAACAGTGAGTCAGCGTTAATGATGCTAACAGTGAGTCAGCATAGGATCATGTTTTGTAAATTATAGATCTGCGTCTGCTGTAAACGGAGCGGGCTGGCCTCACCTCGGGCTGGCCTCACCTCGGGCTGGCCTCACCTCGGGCCGGCCTCACCTCGGGCTGGCCTCACCTCGGGCCGGCCTCACCTCGGGCCGGCCTCACCTCGGGCCGGCCTCACCTCGGGCCGGTCTCACCTCGGGCCGGCCTCACCTCGGGCCGGCCTCACCTCGGGCCGGCCTCACCTCGGGCCGGCCTCACCTCGGGCCGGCCTCACCTCGGGCCGGCCTCACCTCGGGCCGGCCTCACCTCGGGCCGGCCTCACCTCGGGCCGGCCTCACCTCGGGCCGGCCTCACCTCGGGCCGGTCTCACCTCGGGCCGGCCTCACCTCGGGCCGGCCTCACCTCGGGCCGGCCTCACCTCGGGCCGGTCTCACCTCGGGCCGGCCTCACCTCGGGCCGGCCTTAGCTCGGACCGGACTGATTAAAGCAGTTTCAGCACCACCTTGCAGTACCACCGTCTGAGCTGAGGTGGATCAGGACCGGCTCAGGACTTCATTAGGCACAAGACTCAAAATTACCATTATTTTTATCCTTCTTTCAGGGATTTTCTTTGTTTTCGGCCTTTCCTTTTGTGTGGCCGACTTATCTCAAAGACCCAGTGGCTTTCATGTGGCTCGGGTCCTGGGTTCGAATCCTCCTCCAGACAGGGCCTTTCTGTCTTTTCTGAGTTTGCGGGTTCTCCGTGTCTGTGTAGGTCTTAGGTCTCGGGTCTTGGGTCTTGGGTCTTGGTATCACAGGTACTGTAGACCATGGTCCGTTAGAACTCCAATGCTAACGGCCGTGCATTATTGTGGTAAATACAGAATAATGGATTCCCACTGGGGCGACAGTAGCTCAGTTGGTAGAGCATTGGCCATAAGCCCAGAAGGTCGTGGGTTCAATTCCCACCTCGACACCTTCTCCACCGACTCCCACTGATGACTGCTGTCGTTGTGTCCTTGGGCAAGACACTTAACCCCACTTTGCCCAAAGCCCCCACTGAAAGATCAAGGCTATGCTCACAGTCAGAGAGCAGCCGTCCTCCTGTGGACTCACCACCTGCAGAGGGTCAGTGAGGGGCTGGTGCTATGAGACTTGGGTGGCATCTCTGACTGCCCCCCCCCTGACCCAGAAATGGATTAAAGGGTAGAAAATGGATGGATGGATTCCCACTGGCGCTGGCCACGCTCTGTCTGCAACAGATGAAAGGAAAGGAGAAGACTGTTGTGCGTCAAATGTCTCGGCTTTTTACACATTTAGGAACGTGGCTCTGGAGAAGATTTGGATCAGGACCTGCGTCGAGTGACACACCCTAACCCTAATGTGTGTGTGTGTGTGTGATGTGTGTGATGTGTGTGTGATGTGTGCGATGTGTGTAATTTGTGTGTGTAATTTGTGTAATGTGTGTATCTAAATACTGTCCTAAACTGTAATTGTCTCTGAGGTCACTCATTAGAACAGAAAGCACCTTCAAGATAAACAACCTCTGCTTTTCATTTGTGTGTGTCTGTGTGTGTGTCGATGTTTGTGTGTGTGTCTGTGTGTGTGTGTCGATGTTTGTGTGTGTGTCTGTGTGTGTGTCGATGTTTATGTGTGTGTCTGTGTGTGTGTCGATGTTTGTGTGTGTGTCTGTGTGTGTGTCGATGTTTGTGTGTGTGTCTGTGTGTGTGTCGATGTTTGTGTGTGTGTCTGTGTGTGTGTCGATGTTTGTGTGTGTCTGTGTGTGTGTTGATGTTTGTGTGTGTCTGTGTGTGTGTCGATGTTTGTGTGTGTCTGTGTGTGTGTCGATGTTTGTGTGTGTCTGTGTGTGTGTCGATGTTTGTGTGTGTATGTCTGAGTATGTGTTTGTTTGCGCTTATGGGTTTGTGTGTGTGCCCAAAGTTGTCTGAATCTGGAGAGTAACAAACTGACGTTAAATGAATTTACTAAAATAACAAACGGAGTGAAACGTCAGACGCAGTGTGTGGAGCTCTGGAGAATATTGTCACAAAACACAAAATACTATTTTCTTTCTTCTTTACCGGTGCATTTTTTACCATTTTTTATTGTTTATTGATTGACTGCGGAACCTTCCGCAGTCAACCATTGGTTTTGTATTTCTTTATTCCGTCATTTTTTTTGACACGTTTCACAGCTTTCACATTTTCAACAATTTCCACAAGTTATACATCAAAACGTTCCACATGTTTGGGAGATTATTGCTATTACTTTTGGGACTTCAGCGATTTCCGGTTTTTCCGCAATCGGACAAAAATCTGCATTGAGAATTCTGCAATGCATTTTAATAGGCCCATGCATTTTAATAGGACTTCAGCTCTTTCAGACATTTCTACAGTTTCAATGATTCAACAGTTTCAAGGATTCAACAGTTTCAAGGATTTCAAGAGTTTCAAGGACTTCAACAGTTTCAAGGACTTCAGCAGTTTCAAGGACTTCAGCAGTTTCAAGGACTTCAGCAGTTTCAAGGACTTCAGTGTAATTATGCAACCTAATAGGGATTTTTCCATGTAAACCAGTATAATGCAACTTAATAGGGATTTTTCCATGTAAACCAGTATAATGCAACTTAATAGGGTTTTTTCATGTAAACCAGTATAATGCAACTTAATAGGGTTTTTTTTCATGTAAACCAGTATAATGCAACTTAATAGGGATTTTTCCATGTAAACCAGTATAATGCAACTTAATAGGGATTTTTCCATGTAAACCAGTATAATGCAAATTAATAGGGTTTTTTCCATGTAAACCAGTATAATGCAACTTAATGGGGATTTTTCCATGTAAACCAGTACAATGCAACTTAATAGGGATTTTTCCATGTAAACCAGTATAATGCAACTTAATGGGGATTTTTCCATGTAAACCAGTATAATGCAACTTAATGGGGATTTTTCCATGTAAACCAGTATTATGCAACTTAATAGGGATTTTTCCATGTAAACCAGTATAATGCAACTTAATAGGGATTTTTCCATGTAAACCAGTATAATGCAACTTAATGGGGATTTTTCCATGTAAACCAGTATAATGCAACTTAATAGGGGTTTTTACATGTAAACCAGTATAATGCAACTTAATAGGGTTTTTTCCATGTAAACCAGTATAATGCAACTTAATAGGGTTTTTTCCATGTAAACCAGTACAATGCAACTTAATAGGGATTTTTCCATGTAAACCAGTATAATGCAACTTAATGGGGATTTTTCCATGTAAACCAGTATAATGCAACTTAATGGGGATTTTTCCATGTAAACCAGTATTATGCAACTTAATAGGGATTTTTCCATGTAAACCAGTATAATGCAACTTAATAGGGATTTTTCCATGTAAACCAGTATAATGCAACTTAATGGGGATTTTTCCATGTAAACCAGTATAATGCAACTTAATAGGGGTTTTTACATGTAAACCAGTATAATGCAACTTAATAGGGTTTTTTCCATGTAAACCAGTATAATGCAACTTAATAGGGTTTTTTCCATGTAAACCAGTACAATGCAACTTAATAGGGATTTTTCCATGTAAACCAGTATAATGCAACTTAATGGGGATTTTTCCATGTAAACCAGTATAATGCAACTTAATGGGGATTTTTCCATGTAAACCAGTATTATGCAACTTAATAGGGATTTTTCCATGTAAACCAGTATAATGCAACTTAATAGGGATTTTTCCATGTAAACCAGTATAATGCAACTTAATGGGGTTTTTACATGTAAACCAGTATAATGGAACTTTATAGGGGTTTTTACATGTAAACCAGTATAATGGAACTTAATAGGGGGTTTTACATGTAAACCAGTATAATGCAACTTAATAAGGATTTTTACATGTAAACCACTATAATGTAACCTAATAGGGGTTTTTACATGTAAACCAGTATAAAGCAACTTAATAGGGATTTGTACATGTAAACCAGTATAATGCAACCTAATAGGGATTTTTCCATGTAAACCAGTATAATGCAACTTAATAGAGATTTTTCCATGTAAACCAGTATAATGCAACTTAATAGGGATTTTTCCATGTAAACCAGTATAATGCAACCTATTACGGATTTTTCCATGTAAACCAGTATAATGCAACCTAATAGGTTGCATTATACCACCAGACCAAGACCCAAACGAAGACTCAGACCACCACCAGATAATGACCACAGACCAGGTTTCCTTAGTTACAGGAACCAAATTGTTTCAGCGGTGAGGGGATTTTTCAGTTTCAAGGACACTTTCAATACATTCAGTAGTTTCAAGGATTTCAACTGTTTAAGAATTTAACCAGTTTCAAGGATATCAGGAGGTTCAAGGATTTCAGGAGTTTCCACACTTTCAACAGTTTCCAGGTTTAAAAAAGTTTCAAGGATTTCAGGAGTTTCAATGTTTCAACAGTTTCAAGGATTTCAGGAGTTTAAAGGTTTCAACAATTTCAAGGACTTCAGGAGTTTCAAATATCTATCAAGTATTTTAACAGTTTCAAGGCCTTTTAAAGGATTTCAAGGATTTTTTTTAGCAGATTTCCACATTAGATCTGTTCCGCAGTCAATCGCAATGGCTTCAGCCATTGCAAGTTTCTAGTTTGTTTTTGCCATTTACGGGATAACTGAGCGACAATAGCTCAGTTGGTAGAGCATTGGCCTTTGGGACGTGAAGGTCGTGGGTTCGAGCCCATCGTAAGACCTACTTCATGACTCCCACTGATGACTGCTGTCGTTGTGTCCTTGGGCAAGACACTTAACCCCACTTTGCCTGAAGCTCCCTCTGAAAGATCTCAGCTCCTGTGGACTCAGCACCTGCAGGAGGATCAGTGAGGGGCTGGTGCTCTGTGAACTGGGTGCAGCTCTGACTGCCACCCCCCCCGACCCAGAAATGGATTAAGGGGAAGAAAATGGATGGATGGACGGGAAAACTACATTTCAAATCAAATATTTACATTCCACAATTACAACAACAATTACTACTACTACTGATACTGCTACTACTACTGCACTGCTACTACTACTACTACTGCTACTACTACTGCTGCTACTGCTACTACTACTACTGCTACTGCTACTACTACTGCTGCTACTGCTACTACTGCTACTGCTACTGCTACTGCTACTACTACTGCACTGCTACTACTACTACTACTGCTACTACTACTGCTGCTACTGCTACTACTACTACTACTACTGCTACTACTACTGCTGCTACTGCTACTACTGCTACTGCTACTGCTACTACTACTGCTACTGCTACTACTACTACTACTACTGCAGTGCTACTATTGCTACTGCTACTACTATTACTGCTACTGCTGCTACAGCTACTGCTACTACTACTACTACTGCTACTGCTACTTCTACTACTACCACTACCGTTACTACCAGTACTGCGACTGCTGCTGTGACTACTTCTACTGCTGCTGCTGCTCTTGATCTCCTGGGACAACTGCTTTAATTAAAAGTACCTCAGAAGCTTTAAGAGGCAAATGGCCGCTGTGGGACTCTGTGTGAGAGGTTCTCCATGCAGCTGCTCCTTGTTACTGCCGACAAACCAAACACACACACACAGACACACACACACGCGCGCGCACACACACACACACACACAGACACACACACAGACACAAACACGCACACACACACACACCTTCGCACACAGCGCCGGAGGGATGCGACACTGTAATAGTTTCAGTATCGCCGCCATAAGCTCTTCTCGCCGCACACGGCGGTCAGCAGGGATTTACAGCTCATTGGCTCTCATTATGAAAATGTAATATTGCACTTGAAACCCTTACGGCTATTCTCGGCCTACGGACTTCTGCTGCGTCATCGTTTCAGGTCGGAGACGGCGGTACTCCTGTTTCCACCCGGCGACACAGAGGGGCGGAGAGTAAACAAATCAGTCCAATAGGCCGGGGCATCCATGTTCAGAATTACACAGGTCAATAATACTGGGACTAGAACACACAATAATACTGGGACTAGAACACTAAAGCACAGCAACACAGGCGCAAATAAGAGTTGGACTGGAATTATGAAATATATTTATAAGGAGCACGATCTAAATGTAAAGACGCTGGAAAACCAGAAGTTGTATCAGATTCTCTACATCCCAACAGCCCGAGGACAAAGTTGGTAATTCCTCAAAAACAGTGAATCAAACGGTTCGAGTGTTCAGGAAATGCAAAAATAACAACAACAGAAGCCATTGGTCCATAACCGTCCACAGCCGTCCACAGCCGTCCACAGCCGTCCACAGCCGTCCACAACCGTCCACAGCCGTCCACAGCCGTCCACAACCGTCCACAGCCGTCCACAGCCGTCCACAGCCGTCCACAGCCGTCCACAGCCGTCCACAGCCGTCCACAACCGTCCACAGCCGTCCACAACCTCCACAACCATCCACAGCCGTCAACAGCCCTCCACAACCGTCCACAACCTCAACCATCCACAGCCGTCCACAACCTCCGCAACCATCCACAGCCGTCCACAGCCGTCCACAACCGTCCACAACCGTCCACAGCCGTCCACAGCCGTCCACAGCCGTCCACAACCTCCACAGCCGTCCACAGCCGTCCACAACCTCAACCATCCACAGCCGTCCACAGCCGTCCACAACCGTCCACAACCGTCCACAGCCGTCCACAACCTCCACAGCCGTCAACAGCCCTCCACAACCGTCCACAACCTCAACCATCCACAGCCGTCCACAGCCGTCCACAACCTCCGCAACCATCCACAGCCGTCCACAGCCGTCCACAGCCGTCCACAGCCGTCCACAGCCGTCCACAACCGTCCACAACCATCCACAACTGTCCAACTGTCCACAGCCGTCCACAACCTCCACAGCCGTCCACAGCCGTCCACAACCTCCACAGCCGTCAACAGCCGTCCACAACCGTCCACAACCGTCCACAACCGTCCACAGCCGTCCACAGCCGTCCACAACCTCCACAACCTCCGCAGCCGTCCACAACCGTCCACAACCGTCCACAACCGTCCACAACCGTCCACAACCGTCCACAGCCGTCCACAGCCGTCCACAGCCGTCCACAACCGTCCACAACCATCCACAGTCCACAACTGTCCACAACTGTCCACAGCCGTCCACAACCGTCCACAGCCGTCCACAGCCGTCCACAACCGTCCACAACCGTCCACAGCCGTCCACAACCGTCCACAACCGTCCACAACCGTCCACAACCGTCCACAACCATCCACAGCCGTCCACAGCCGTCCACAGCCGTCCACAACCGTCCACAAAAGTCCACAGCTGTCCACAGCCGTCCACAACGGTCCACAGCCGTCCAAAACGGTCCACAGCCGTCCACAACGGTCCACAGCCGTCCACAACCGTCCACAGCCGTCCACAGCCGTCCACAGCCGTCCACAGCCGTCCACAACCGTCCACAACCGTCCACAACAGTCCACAGCTGTCCACAGCCGTCCACAACGGTCCACAGCCGTCCACAACGGTCCACAGCCGTCCACAGCCGTCCACAACTGTCCAAAACCATCCACAGCCGTCCACAGCTGTCCAAAGCCGTCCACAGCCGTCCACAACGGTCCATAACGGTCCATAGCGGTCCATAGCGGTCCATAGCGGTCCATAGCGGTCCATAGCGGTCCATAGCGGTCCATAGCGGCGGCACGGTGGCTGAGTGGATAGCACTCTCGCCTCTCAGCAAAAAGGTCCTGGGTTCAAATCCCGGTTGGACCATGGCCTTTCTGAGTGGAGTTTGCATGTTCTCCCCGTGTCTGCGTAGGTTTCCTCCGGGTGCTCCGGTTTCCCCTACCACTAAAAAAAAAAAAATATGTACAATAGGTCTGGCATGTGCCTCCTGTACTGGCCCCACTCCCAAAAATAACAATTGTAAACCGCTTTGAGATTCTGATGTGCAGTGAAAAGGCGGTATATAAATAAAGATTACTTACTTACTACTACTTACTACATAGCGGTCCATAGCGGTCCATAGCGGTCCATAGCGGTCCATAGCGGTCCATAGCGGTCCATAGCGGTCCATAGCGGAGCGACCGGAGCCTAAAGGACTGTGAAGGTTTGTGTTTTTGTCATAAAAGTCTGACTCTTGAGGGTCACATGACCGGTGTAACAGAGAGAATGTGAAAGGATGAGACGTTGTAGAGACGTCACAGCGGGCGCTAAAGGAAGACGTCATGTGATGGGGGGGGATTTCACGACCCCCTCCCTCCCAACCGTTAGGCACCCCCCTCACCCAACCGTACTCAGACCCCCTCCCTCCCAACCGTACTCAGACCCCCCCCTCCCAACCGTACTCAGACCCCCCCCTCACCCAACCGTACTCAGACCCCCCCCCCTCCCAACCGTACTCAGACCCCCCCCCTCCCAACCGTACTCAGACCCCCCCCTCACCCAACCGTACTCAGACCCCCCCCCTCCCAACCGTACTCAGACCCCCCCCCTCCCAACCGTACTCAGACCCCCCCTCTCCCAACCGTACTCAGACCCCCCCTCTCCCAACCGTACTCAGACCCCCTCCCTCCCAACCGTCAGACCCCCCCCCTCCCAACCGTACTCAGACCCCCTCCCTCCCAACCGTACTCAGACCCCCTCCCTCCCAACCGTACTCAGACCCCCCCCCCTCCCAACCGTACTCAGACCCCCCCCCTCCCAACCGTACTCAGACCCCCCCTCTCCCAACCGTACTCAGACCCCCCCCCTCCCAACCGTACTCAGACCCCCCCCCCTCCCAACCCTACTCAGACCCCCCCTCTCCCAACCGTCAGACCCCCTCCCTCCCAACCGTACTCAGACCCCCCCTCTCCAGCTGAAGCCCAGTTGCTGTGGTCCCTCAGCCCCTAAAGCCCGGGTCTAATCGGGGCTTTACCCAGGCCTTAGTGTGACCACAGCGTCAGACTGGGCCAGAGCTGCTGCAGGTCCAGCCTCAGACTGGGCCAGAGCCGCTGCAGGTCCAGCCTCAGACTGGGCCAGAGCTGCTGCAGGTCCAGCCTCAGACTGGGCCAGAGCTGCCGCAGGTCCAGCCTCAGACTGGGCCAGAGCTGCTGCAGGTCCAGTCTCAGACTGGGCCAGAGCTGCTGCAGGTCCAGCCTCAGACTGGGCCAAAGCTGCTGCAGGTCCAGCCTCAGACTGGGCCAGAGCTGCCGCAGGTCCAGCCTCAGACTGGGCCAGAGCTGCTGCAGGTCCAGTCTCAGACTGGGCCAGAGCTGCTGCAGGTCCAGCCTCAGACTGGGCCAGAGCTGCTGCAGGTCCAGCCTCAGACTGGGCCAGAGCTGCTGCAGGTCCAGCCTCAGACTGGGCCAGAGCTGCTGCAGGTCCAGCCTCAGACTGGGCCAGAGCTGCTGCAGGTCCAGCCTCAGACTGGGCCAGAGCTGCTGCAGGTCCAGCCTCAGACTGGGCCAGAGCTGCTGCAGGTCCAGCCTCAGACTGGGCCAGAGCTGCTGCAGGTCCAGCCTCAGACTGGGCCAAAGCTGCTGCAGGTCCAGCCTCAGACTGAGCCAGAGCTGCAGCAGGTCCAGCCTCAGACTGGGCCAGAGCTGCTGCAGGTCCAGCCTCAGACTGGGCCAGAGCTGCTGCAGGTCCAGCCTCAGACTGGGCCAGAGCTGCAGCAGGTCCAGCCTCAGACTGGGCCAGAGCTGCCGCAGCAGGTCCAGCCTCAGACTGGGCCAGAGCTGCTGCAGGTCCAGCCTCAGACTGGGCCAGAGCTGCCGCAGCAGGTCCAGCCTCAGACTGGGCCAGAGCTGCTGCAGGTCCAGCCTCAGACTGGGCCAGAGCTGCTGCAGGTCCAGCCTCAGACTGGGCCAGAGCTGCTGCAGGTCCAGCCTCAGACTGGGCCAGAGCTGCTGCAGGTCCAGCCTCAGACTGGGCCAGAGCTGCTGCAGGTCCAGCCTCAGACTGGGCCAGAGCTGCCGCAGGTCCAGCCTCAGACTGGGCCAGAGCTGCCGCAGGTCCAGCCTCAGACTGGGCCAGAGCTGCCGCAGGTCCAGCCTCAGACTGGGCCAGAGCTGCTGCAGGTCCAGCCTCAGACTGGGCCAGAGCTGCTGCAGGTCCAGCCTCAGACTGGGCCAGAGCTGCTGCAGGTCCAGCCTCAGACTGGGCCAGAGCTGCTGCAGGTCCAGCCTCAGACTGGGCCAGAGCTGCCGCAGGTCCAGCCTCAGACTGGGCCAGAGCTGCTGCAGGTCCAGCCTCAGACTGGGCCAGAGCTGCCGCAGGTCCAGCCTCAGACTGGGC